GTGAAGTGTTTGAGACAACTTAGACAGGAGCTTCGTGCCAAACTGCTCTAGCGGTTTCTTGCATTGTACAAGCTAGAGAAGCCCTTCTCGGTGTCTGTGTCTTTGCTGTTTCTCTGCCCTGCCTAAGAAGCCTGCCTATACCTCCTCCCCTCTACTGCAGCTTTCTCAGTCAGCCGAGTGCCGGAGAAGCTGGATGTGGTGGTGATAGGCAGTGGCTTTGGGGGCCTGGCTGCAGCTGCAATTCTGGCCAAAGCTGGCAAGCGAGTTCTGGTGCTGGAACAGCATACCAAGGCTGGGGGCTGTTGTCATACCTTTCGACAGGATGGCCTTGAATTTGACACAGGTAAGTCTCGTGTGGAAAAAGGTTGGGAGCATGGCTGTATCTTCAGGAGCCTTGGAGCAGCCATTGTGGGATGATATTGGGCATCTCTGTTGTTTTAGGGGCCCTGTCTTCTCTCTGGGTACCACTTTCCTTGTCTGGCACCCACTCTTCCACTGAGACCTGAAGTCAGCAAGGATGTAGTGGTTTCTGCTGTGATACCTCCCTACAGAGAGGGTGGACAGCCCCTTCTGCTTGCCAGACAATCTCTTCCACCTTGTTTCCTTGTCTACCTTTCCAGGGCTCAATCCCCTGATCCTCATGGAACCTTATATTTTTTTCCATCTCCCAACAGGAATCCATTATATTGGGGATATGGAGGAGGGCAGCACTGGCCGTTTTATGTTGGACCAGATCACCGAGGGGCAGCTGGACTGGGCTGCCATGTCCTCTCCCTTTGACATTATGGTACTAGAAGGATCCAATGGCCGGAAGGATTTCCCCAGGTACAGTGGGGAGAAAGCCTATGTACAGGGCCTCAAGGAGAAGTTTCCTCAAGAAGAGGCTGCCATTGACAAGTACATAAAGCTGGTTAAGGTAACATGGACATGCTGCGTATCCCAGTTTTATCCCCAGCAAGGCTGGCTGACCTTCATTAGCGGAGTGACTGGTGGGGGAGGCAGGAAGGGAGGAACATGTCTATCCTGAGCTCAGCCCCTGCTTGAGTCCATGTGTCTTTCCAGCTGGGCCCTCTGTCTCTGGAGCCTTGGCTCAGCAGTTGCCAGTCTCACTTGTGGCCTCTCAGAGGCACCCTGCTCTCCCTGACTAGGCTAGCTTCCATGTGGTCAGATCACTGCTCCTTTTAACTTCATGGGGGGCCAGATTGAAACATTTCAAAAGGAATTTGAGCAGGAAACTAAATGACTAAAGAGGACTCATCTGTATGTTGGATAAGGGCTTAATATGCAGAATATATAAACTCTTACAATTTAACAACAAAAAGACAAACAATCCAATCAAAAAATGAGCAAAGAACTTGAATAGTCGTCTATTCAAAGAAGAAATACAAATGGCCAACAAGCAGATGAAAAAATGCTCAATGTCATTAGTCTAGGAAAATGTAAGTCAAAACCACAATGAGCTATCCCTTCACACCCACTAGGATAACTATGATTAAAAAAACGTAAAACAATGGGTGTTGGCGAAGATGTGGAGAAATAGGAATCTTCATCTATTGTTGGTGAGATTGTGAAATGGTATAGCCACTGTGGAAATCAATTTAGTGGTTCCTGAAAAAGTTGAACATAGAATTACCATATGAGCTAGTAATTCTACCCCTAGGTATACACCAGAAGCCCCGGTGGTGCAGTGGTTAAGAGGTATGGCTGCTAACCAAAAGGCTGGCAGTTTTTATCTACCAGCCGCTCCTTGAAAACCCTATGGGGCACTTCTGCTCTGTCCTATAGGGTCGCTAAGAGTTGGAATTAACTTGATGGCGATGGGTCAACAGGTGTATACCAAATAGAATTGAAAACAGGAACGCAAACAGATAGGACTTGTCCACCAGTGTTGACTGCAGCACTATTCGCAATAGCCAAAAGGTGGAAACAGGTGAAATATCCATTAACTGATGAATGTATAAACAAAACGTGGTACATGTATACAATGGAGTATTACTCAGCCATAAAGAGAAACAAAGTCCTAATACCTGCTACAACCTGGATGAACACTGACAGCATTTTGCTGAGTGAAATAAGTCACAGAAGGACAAAGACTGTATGATCCCTCTTACATGAAATATCTAGAACACGCAAGTTTATAGAGACCAGATTTAATTAGTGGTTACCAAGGGTGGGTGGGAAGGAGAGCGAAAGAAAGACACAGTGCTTTGGGGACACTGAGCTTCTGTCAGGGGAGATGGAAAATTTGGGAGTAGATAGGGTGATGGATGGACATAACTAATGTCACTGAACTATACATGTGAAGATTGTTGAAATGGCCAATGTTTATTACATATACATTTACCGCAGACAATAAAATTTTTTTTTTAAAAAAGGACTCATTTGAGTGTAAAAAGGGAAAAATTCACAGAGTATGGATTCTTATAAAAATCCAAATTCAGCAAAACTCAGCCAAGGGTAAGTGTTCCTGGGCCCTGGGGCTGGTGCAGGGTATTGGAATGGTGACTGTGCCCCATGGTTCCCAGAGCTGAGGTCTATTTCCTTCCCCCCACAGGCGGTGTCCAGTGGAGTCACTCTTGCTGTCTTGCTGAAGCTCCTCCCTTTGCCTGTAGTTCAGCTTCTCAACAAGTGTGGGCTGCTGACTCGTTTCTCTCCGTTCCTTCGTGCATCCACCCAGAGCTTGTCTGAGGTCTTGAAGCAGCTGCCGGCCTCCCCTGAGCTCCAGGCAGTGCTCAGCTACATCTTCCCTACTTACGGTGGGTACGAACTCTGGACGGCTCCTGGAGGGGGGGTGCTGTTCTCCCAGCTCTCGGTCTTTCTTCCTGAACCTGCTTGGCTGAAGTGGAGCAGTATAAATCCCAAGCTCTTTGGAGCTTATGGTTGAGAAGTCTGTCCACCTGCTGGACTCCCTCATAGAAATTCCCCTCATCCATGCCCTGGATTTTTCTGTTCGACCAGCACTGTCGTCCTTGTCTTGGCAGTGTGACGTTTTGCAGGGAGGAGATTGCTACTGGACCCAAGATCTGTAAAATACCCCTTATTTGGATGGAAACAAAGCCCTCTGACTGCCCTGAGCCTGGGGAGCATTTGGATTCCAGGATGTGCATGGGCTGTGTGTTATCTCACCAGAATCTGTGCTCCACTCTGAGTGGTGCAGGATGTTGGATGCTCTTGCCTCATTACCCCTTCCTTCTGTAGGTGTGACACCCAGCCACAGCGCCTTTTCCATGCATGCTCTGCTGGTTGACCACTACTTGAAAGGAGGCTTCTATCCCCGTGGTGGCTCCAGTGAAATTGCCTTCCACACCATCCCTGTGATTCAGCGGGCAGGGGGCGCTGTCCTTACAAGGGCCACTGTGCAGAGCGTGTTGCTGGATTCAGCTGGAAAGGCCTGTGGTGAGAGCCCTGCACCGGGCCGCGGGATCCCCGGGCTAGGGTGGGAGAGACTGGGCACAGAGAAAGGGAAGCCCTGAGGGCAGAAGATGTAGAAGAACTGACCCCATGGGGAGTTAAATCCTCAAATCCACCCCAGAGCAGGGGTTGGGGTATAACAATAGGTCTGGAGGTAAAAAGGAAGCAGGAGGGATAAAGGATTGCTTGGTCACCAAAGAACAGTAGTTAATAATTTATTCAGTAGACAATGATAATTATCCAGTAATCCATTAACTTCTGGAGTGTATGTGCTAGGTCTTTTTTATCTTCATGTCTTTAGATCTTACCACTCAACCAAATCATAAAACCAAACTTGTTGCTGTCGAGTCAGTTCTGACTCATGGCAACCCCATGTGTTATAGAGCAGAACTGCTCCATGGGGTTTTCTTGGCTTATCTTTATGGAAGCAGATTTCCAGGCCTTCTTCTGTGGCACCACTGGGTGGGTTTGAACTGTTAATCTTTAAGTTAGTAGTTGAGTGCAAACCATTTGCACCACCTAGCACTTAACAGAGGTTTACTAAATGTTGATTTCAGGAGGGATGGAATGAGTGAGTCACCTGAGCACTCCCCAGGGCAGTATGGAGGCCAGCAGAGTGCCCTGCCCTCACCTGTAAGGGCAGAGGAGGACCTAGAATCTCATTGTCCTGACTCAGGTCGGTGCTGTTACCTGCACAGAGAGTCAAATCCCACAGCGGATTAACTCTTTGAGGGGGAAATCTGTGCAACAACAGAATCTTCCAAACAGAACAGGCCATCCGTGTCTAGGGGCTGATTGAGAAGCAGCAGGGAAGGGAACCAAGAGGCCTGAGGATACAGGGCTGGCGTGATGGTGAACTTGCCAGAGGAAACTTTCGAGGAGTAGGTGGTGAGTTGGTGGACCAGTTCACAATAGAACAAGGGAGAAAAGGCCATCAGTGAGCTCTGAGAATGTATTTGTAGAAGAGATCAAGAGGTTGCTGGGTAGTAAGAGAGAGAGGTGGCAGTTGTGCAAGATTTTCTCTGATGTCTGTGAGCAAGTTCTCCTTTCAGCTGAAAAGGGTCCACAGAGCAGGTGAATTGATCAGTTCAATTAAATTCAATTCAGAACATACTTGTGTTTTCCGTGTGCCAGGTGATAAAAGATACAGACAAAAACAAAAATAAGTGCCAATCTCTAATTCAAGAAGTTTCCAACCACTTAGGAAAGATTATTGCATTATAATTTAAATTCCATAATCGAAGCATTTGCTTGGGATGGAGGTGACATAGAGCACAGTGGAACAGGGAAGGCCTCACAGAGGCAGAGGTGTCTGAGCCACGTCATAAAGGCTGAGAAGCCAGCCAGTGGTCAGGGTGAAGGAAGTTGTTCCAGGCAGGGAACAGCATGTGCAAAGCCATGGAGGTATAAAAGAGCTGAGCATTTCCAGGCATCTGAGAGTGTTAGGTTGGACTATAACAAAGTGCTATTTTTATAGTGTCTTAGTCATCTAGTGCTGCTGTAAATACCACAAGTGGATGGCTTTTACAAAGAGAAGTTTATTCTCTTACAGTCCTGTAGCCTAGAAGTCTGAATTCAGGGTGCTGGCTCCAGGGGAAGGCTTTCTCTCTCTGTTGGCTCTGGAAGAAGGTCCTTGTCATCAGTCTTCCCTTGGTCTGGGAACATCTCAGCACAGGAATCTCAGGTCCAAAGAACGTACTCTGCTCCCAGCGCTGCTTTCTTGGTAGTATGAGGTCCCCATGTCTCTCTGCTTGCTTCTCTCTTCTATGTCTCAAAAGAGATTGGTTTAAGACACTACCTAATCTTGTAGATCTCATCAATATAACTGCCGCCAATCCATCTCATTAACATCATAGTGACAGGATTTACAACACATAGGGAAATCACATCAGATGACAAAATGGTAGACAATCATACAATACTGGGAATCATGGCCCAGCCAACTGATAAACATAATTTTGGGTACACTATTTAATCCATGACAGATAGGTCCAAAAAATTGTCAAATATCAGTTGTTTCAGATGGTTCTACTGAATAGTTCATGAGAGTAGCAAGAGATGAGGCTGGGCACGTAGAAGGGACCAGATCATGGAAGGCTGCTACAAGGCTTTGGGATTTATGATATAGAGGTTGAGGTGTCCTTGACGGGTTTTAAAGAGAATCAAACCAAACCAAACCCATTGCTGTCAAGTCAATTCCGACTCATAGCAACCCTATAGGACAGAGTAGAACTGACCCATAGGGTTTCTGGGGCTGTAAATCTTTACGGAAATGAACTACCACATCTTTGTCCTGAAGAGCGGCTGGTGGGTTCAAACCGTCGACCTTTTGGTTAGCAGCCGAGTGCTTAACCACTGTGCCATAGGGCTCCTCTTAAAGAGAATGATAAGGTGAAGTAGAACTCTATGAAGAGGTGAAGAAGGAGGGGCTTCAGCCCATGAGCTCTGTTGGGCTTGGGAGTTGGGCTTGGCTAAAGAAGGTAGTCTAAGAGGAGGTTGGGGGAGTGGAGGGGTGGGGCAAGTGGTGAGAGAGGTACGGAAGGTAAGTGCAGAAGCCATTGTGGGATAGGTTTCAGTGCTTGAGGATATTCCACTCACGTTGCAATTTTGCCTGGGATCTGCCCTGCTTGGCCTAAGGTGGGCTGGACTCCCAGGTCTGAGAAAATGAAGTGTAAGCTGGGGGAGATCTGTGAGGGTGTGGGCGTTTCTTTACCTTCCTAGAGCTCTCAGAACTTCACCCACCTCCTGTGTCTGCAGGTGTCAGTGTGAAGAAGGGCCAAGAACTGGTGAACATCTACTGCCCCATCGTAATCTCCAGCGCAGGGCTGTTCAATACCTACGAGCACTTATTGCCAGAGCATGCCCGCTGTCTGCCAGGTAAGAGACTGGTCTGCACTGCTGTCTTCCAAGTTCTCCAGCATTTCCCCTTTTGGAGTCAGCTTGCTCAACCTGTGTGATGCTTTCTGTCTTTTTCTTGGCTGCTCAAACCAGCTGCCCTCTAACCATCTTTAAGCAGAAAAGGTGAGAATTTTGGTGTCTGACGGTATCTGTTTGCAGCAAGCCTCTGTGTTTAGGATTTGGAAACAAGTTCCTTTCTGTTCCATCATCCCCAAAGACCCTTTGGTCCTTATCTCTCATTTCATTCTTGGCATATTTACACCCATTCCCCTTGTAATCTCAACCACTTTTCCCTCTCCTCTTTTAAGTCTCCATTCCAAGTGGCCCATTTCCAGTTTCTCTAGATCTTGGAGCGTCTTCTAATAGTTAGTGAGTAGAGTCCCAAAGGAACATTTCTTGGGTTTTCATTGAGTTTGTGGTGTGAATTCCACTTTCTTTCTTAATTTCTCGTTTATTTTGAGTAGAGGAGATTGGTCTGATAATATCAGTAGGGAATCAAGGCTGGTGTGGAGAAGAAAGAATAGATATAATAGTTGTGTGCCTTATTTGGGATCCAAGGTTATGTTTTTCTTCTTCTTTCAGGACCCAGCTCCTTATTGGGGCTGAGGCTGCCAGAGTACCTGTCTTAGTTATCTAGCGCTGCTATAGCAGAAATACCAGAAGTGGATGGCTTTAACAAAGAGAAATTCATTCTCTCACAGTCTGGTAGGCTACAAGTCCAAATTCAAGGCATCAGCTCCAGGGGAAGGCTTTCTCTCTCTGTTGGCTCTGGAGGAAGGTCCTTGTCATCAACCTTCCCCTGGTTGAGGAGCTTCTCAGTGCAGGGACCCCGAGTCCAAAGGATGCACTATTCTCTTGGCTCTTGTTTCTTGGTGGTATGAGGTCCCCCTGTCTCTCTGCTCACTTCTTTCTTTTATATCTCAAAAGAGATTGGTTTAAGATGTAGATCAATCTTATAGATTGAGTCTACATAACTGCCGCTAATCCTATCTCATTAACATCGTAGAGACAGGATTCACAACACATAGGAAAATCACATCAGATGACAAAAATGGTGGACAATCACACAATACTGGGAATCATGACATAGCCAAGCTGACAGATATTTTTGGAGGACACAATTCAATCTATAACAGTACCCTTCTGACTTGCTTCTAGTCCTTGAGCCCCATGCTGGAAATCTGGGACCCAGGTAGAAGTAAGCCTCAATGTAGTCATCTCTGACAGGCTGTGTCTAAAACTGTAAGCCTGGTTTTGTGGAGTGGAGGTGGGCATATTTATGAGTATAGCATGCATAATTTATGTGAGAGGCTTGAACTTTGTCATCACGTCTGATCCTCACAGTCACCAAAGAAATAGATATCATCATCCTAATGTTTATGGTTGGGGAAACTGAGGCCCATAGAGGTCAAGTAACTTCCCAAGACCACCTAGCTGAAAGTGGCAGAGCTGACATGAATACTCTGGTCTGTATGACTAGAAAGTCTAGGCTGTTTGTACTCTATCTGGGCTGAGAAGTGTGGGCCCTCCAGAGCAACGGCCTCACCAAATGAGGCAGGAGAGCAGGAGCAGCCCACAAGGTCCAAGTAGCCAAGCCAAAGTTAGGTGAGAAGTTACCATGTTGAAGTGGACTCAGGTTGTCATGTAATTCGAAGCTACTGGTGTGATGTGAAGAAAGGAGGCTGGCTGGCCAGGAGGGAACCAACAATCCAGCAGGAGTAAGAGAGAGGGGTCTAGATAAAGGCCTTGGCTGGGGTGGGATGGACACCAGGGACATTAGTGGTACGACAAGGAGGAGCACAGGGAGCAGTGGGGAGGAGCTCTCCACCCGTGGTGGGCCCCATGGGCTGCTCCCTGGGAAGCTGGGGAAAGTGGGCAGCACAGTGGGTTCAGTAGAAAAGTGAGGCCCTGGATTTCTTCATGGTGGGTAGGTGAGGTGGCAGTTGTAATCGCCTCTGAGGTATAGGATGTGTGCCATGGAAAACCAGTACCTTTGCCTCACTTAGCAGAGGCCTCCTAGCTGTCCAACTGGGTGAGCTGAGTGGGGTGAGGCAGAGACTGCCCAGTTACAGGAAGGCGGGGCAGGTTGTGAGGAGGACCACAGACTTTGCCTTTGGTACTTCCTGCCTCCCTTTCTGTAACCCTTTCCTCCCTTTTCCCTTCTAGCCCAGGACAATGAGCCCTGCCACTGTCCTCTAGAGGCCCCAGCATTCCCCTCATCCTGCCTCTTCCCAGGCAGCCATGCTCCAGGCACCTGCTCAGCTTGATCTCCCCTCGTCCAGCTACAGTTTTCATGCTCTTATGTATCTTCCGTTGAAAGCAATCTAATGGTGCCAGCCCAAGCTGGCTGAAGGACCAGTTGCCCGTCTTGGGTGGGGGGTTGGGTGCTGCCCCAGGTGAATCCCAGTTTGAGAGCACTTCAGGCAGTGATGGTGAGGTGATGAGACTTAACTCAGAGATCCCAGGTGCCGGGACGCCCTTTGTTTCCAGCTGGTTGGGGGAGGGGATTCTCATAGTTCTATCTACCTCCTAGGGATGGGAACCAGGTATCAGGTGGCCTCTGGAACAGGCTGAGCCAGTTGGGGCTGAGGGTGGAAGTGGGATGGTCAAGTAGGGGAGCATTTGTGAATAGGGAAATCCTTTCTTGACTCCCACTGCTGAGTCTTGAGGGATCACTGGGGATGGTTTGGGGAGGAAGGTCTATGGCTCCTGGGCCCCTTACTTCTAGCTTGGGAAAGAGGAGAGAGGCACAGGTGGAGGAAGGGGCTAGGTGGAGGGCACTGCTTTCTAAGCAGCCTCTGAAGACCCAGGGGTTCCACTCCTGGGCTCCTGTTTTCTTCATGCCAACCTCCCATCCCACCTGGAGAGGCCAGCAGTGTGCCTACCCTTGGATGCTGGGACCCAGGGAAGAAGGTACTCCTGCATCTCCAGCACCAGGTGAGGGCAGTCCTCTGCACTTTACTGTGGCTGTCCCTCTGCCTTTGGTGAGGGGACAGGCTGAGCTTCTGGGCCTCAGGCTCTACATGGGATCTGGGGGGAGGGGTCAGAGAAGGCCCATGTTCCCCTTCCCTCCTCAGTATGCTCCCATAGCTGGGTGTCTAAGTTTTATGTCTATTTTCCTAATGTAATTATTAATAATCCACCAGCCGCTCCTTGGAAACCCTATGGGGCAGTTTACTCTGTCCTATAGGGTTGCTATGAGTTGGAATTGACTCGATGGCCACTGGTTTGGTTTGGTTTTTGGTTTCACTCTCAAGGGTGTTTTGGATGATAGATTATATGGGCACCCTACCTGTGGCACTCAGTTCTTTGTAGCTCCTGATAGATAGCCAACTTCTTTCAGAGAAATCTCTTTTTCTGTAGGCAGGCATCATGTCTATTGATTCCTTGTGGTATCCCCACGGCCTAGCAGAGGGCCCAGAACATTTCAGGTCAATAAATATTTGTTAAGTGCATGAAGCAGAGCAGTGGCCGAGTTCGCCCTCAAGCAGGTTCTGGAGATGCTCCTTGGAATGGAAACAAAGAACAAGCATTTGTGGGTTTCAGTTTCCAGAAAACCGGTCTGGGGTCATCTGTTGCTGATAGGTACAGAAGTCCAGCTGCTTGGGTCCAGAGGACATGGGATGGCCTCACAGTGGTTCCTTCCTCCGTAGTGCTGCTCTTCCCTCCTCCTCCTGCTGAGTCATGAGGATTGGAGGCAGTTGGCCTGAGACTGTGTCCTACAGGTGCTGTGAGCTGGCTCAAGGAGGTTAGGGCTGGCGGCTTAGTGTCAACTGCTTATAAAAGTGTTTAGAGCAGAAGTGGGTGGAGGTGGGAGAGTAGGAGCCTGGGGTTGTATGCTTCACAGGCAGGAGGAGACCGAAGAGCAGGCCCTGCCAAGTCAGTGTTGAAATAAAAGCTGTAAAAATGGACTGGGCCCGAGGAAGGCAGCTGAGGATAAGGCTGTAGGTGAAGTGAGTTGATGTCAACAGGCTCTCCTGGCACAGGGAATGCCTGTCTCCAGCCACAGGTCATTGCAGCCCTCCCCCACTCCCTTTGTAGATGTGAAGAAACAGCTGGCGATGGTGCGGCACAGCTTGGGCATGTTCTGTGTTTTTATCTGCCTACGAGGCAGCAAGAAGGACCTGGGTCTGAAGTCTACCAACTACTATGTTTATTTTGACATAGACATGGACAAGGCGTAAGGCGTGTGTGTCTGTGTGTGTAGAGGGATGTCAGAACAGGCCTACGGCCCACGGGGCCCCTGCTGCCTCATGGAATGGGAGGAAGTGGGCAGGAATTTACTCCCTGAAGGGCTTTTTCCTCTGTGCCACATTGTCATCACTGTGGGGAGTCCCTGGGGGTAAGCTGTCCCGGGGGTGGCAGGGAGGGACGAGGCCAGGGGTTGGCACCCTCTGCTCTCACCCACAGGATGGAGCGCTACCTCTCTGTGCCCAGGGAAAAGGCTGCAGCACACATCCCCATTTTCTTCATTTCTTTCCCGTCAGCCAAGGATCCGACGTGGGAGGACCGATACCCAGGTGAGGCGTGGGGGCCTGGTGGAGATGGGGCGGGAACGTGGAAGGGACCAGGCAGCAGTAACCCTGGCTCTGCACCCTAGACCGGTCCACGGTGAACGTGCTGATACCCACTGCCTATGAGTGGTTTGAGGAGTGGCAGGAAGAGCCACAGGGAAAGCGGAGCAGCGACTATGAGACTCTCAAAAACGCCTTTGTTGAAGCTGCTATGTCAGTTGTCCTGAAGCTGTTCCCCCAGCTGGAGGGGCAGGTAGGAGGACAGAGTATCTGGTGGTGGTGACAGACCTCTTGGAGCCATTTCCACCTTTTCCTTAGGGCTGGGAATAAAGCCCAGAGGTAACAGTCCCAGGGACACTCAGCAGGCAGGCAGACTGCTCCAGGAGAGCAGAAAAGGGGAAGAGAAGAATCTCGGCAGTTTCCACTCCTGCCCTGGGGCCACCTTTTTTGCCTCCTCAGGTGGACAGTGTGACTGGAGGATCCCCGCTGACCAGTCAGTTCTATCTGGCTGCCCCACGAGGTGCCTGCTATGGGGCTGACCATGACCTTGGCCGCCTGCATCCTCATGTGATAGCCTCCATGAGGGCTCAAAGCCCCATCCCCAACCTCTACCTGACAGGTACACTGACTGCCCCGTTCTGCCAGGACCTGAGACCCTGGGCCGCTCTGTCACCCAGAGTCCTCTGTTCCTGTCCTCGTGCCCTGGAGGCTCCTGCAGGCTCCTGCAGGCTCCTGCAGCCTCCCATACTCTCAACCGGGATACCCTGCAGGTTGTATGCCCTGCTCCCGACCTGAAGCCTAGTCTTTGGGTGGCCCTAGCTCAGAGGGAGGAACGTGAGTGCCCTTGTCCTCCCCCTCCATTTGCGTGGATGCTGACGGGCCTCTGCTCCTGCCTTCTAGGCCAGGACATCTTCACGTGTGGGTTGACAGGGGCCCTGCAAGGGGCCATGCTGTGCAGTGGTGCCATCCTGAAGCGGAACTTGTTCTCGGACCTTAAGAAGCTTCACTCAAGGATCCAGGCACAGAAGAAGAAGAATTAGTTGGGTCAGGTATGAGTCAGAGGAATTTGCCCCGTGGCTAGGCATCTTTCTGCATTAGTTCCTTGCCCATGTAAAGCACTATTTGTTTTTTCTCTGAGCAAAGCTCCAAGCTGCAGGCCTAGTGTAGATCACAGGTCTTAAAGTGAAGCTCTTCTAGCTGATGCGGATGATCTTTTATAACTTTTAAAGCATGCTATCCCTACCGAAGGCCCAGTCTGGGCCGTTGATTTAGATGTCTCATGATCAGCCGTATTCTGCACCCCACACCCATTCTTCCTAGCTCTAAACAATCAAAGTGAATAGTCTCTTGGTCAGGTGGATAGAACCCCTGAAAAGTGCTGATCAGCTAAAGCGATCGGTCCAGTTCTGCCCTGAGGCTTCTCCCCTCACTCACTCTGTGCTAGGCAGCGGGACTTCTACGCTGCCCTGCAGAAAAAGGCGACTAATGAGGTTTTAAGACCCTGGGCATGGTTTTGGTTCTATAGGTTCACTAGGTTCCAGATACCATTTTTGCTGGTTCCAATGGGTCTTTCAGAGGGTGGGGAAATGTCTGTAACAGGCTTCTTATGGTTCTCTGGGTTTGGGGGTAGTAAGACATAAGCACATGGATGGATTACCGAATAAGCAAGATACCCACCACATCAAATGTGTGGTGAAACCCATGTGAAATCAGGCACTGCAGATTAGTAAGTAAACACAAGTAAGCCCCTGGGTACTTGGTTTAATGTAAGCCCCTGCATTCTTTGCTTACTAGTTAATCTGCCCTTGTGTGATAAGCAAGGTATAGTATTATAATGTCCAATTTGTAGGCAGTCAAGCCCTAGGCTAGTCTTCCTTTGATTGGGGTGGCATCTGGTTTTCAGTGTGCCAGCACCTGAGCCTCAAGTCTTATCTTCCAAAAATTTGGGGAAGGGTGATGTTAGGGCACAAGACTAGAAAGATGATTGAAGAAGATTGAAAAGGCATTCCAGGCCAAGGGCACAGCAGAGGACAAGCATAGAAAGGTAACTGAATGTGTTGTGACAAATCGCCAAGCCATATCTCCTAGACCTCGTGGGCAGAGTAGGGGTGGGAGTGGAAAATTGGTCAGGATTAGAAAATGAAAAGGCCCAAGAACAGTGTTTGCAGTTTATCTTATAGATCTATGGAGACTGGGTGGGAAGGTAAATGAAGGCTAAAGGTTAAAGAAAAAAAGTTTTTTCCACTTAAGTTAAACTGAAGCACCAAAGGCCTTATTTTACTCAGTTTTAATCTAAAATCAATAAACTTCATGATTTATAGCTTTAACATTCGAACATTACTGTGTTTTCTGTTTAATGATAGAAAACGACATTGAGATGGCATTCACAGAAACTAGTACACATTATATACTGAAAAATACTTATCAGTAGACCAAATAAGCCTTAAAAAATAAGATTAAGTAATTATAATCAAGTTACATAAAAGCTGAAAATGCAAAACAGTGGCAATCTGAAGAGGCTGCATAGGGCTGGCTCATTACTGTTTACTCCCCCATTGCTAACCGCCACATTGTCTCATGTTCTTTTTTTCTCCAGTCTCTACAAAATGTTTAAGATTAACCAATGTTCCTCGATGTCGCCTGATAATCCCCAAAGATGTCACCAGATAACCTCTAAGAATACCAGTAGAAGGTTAACTCATTAAGACATCATCACCTCATAGAGAAACTACCACAAAAGATCCATAATCCTGTCCCTGTAAAAGACTTCAGCCGATCTCCAGTGGGGGAGACGGGTTTTTTGGAAGAATCTATTCCCCTCCGTCTCCTATATATCGATATATAATAAACATCTTGCTGCTCACCTCACCCCTGTCTCAGAATTGGCTATTGTGGCAGGCGGCTCTAATCCGCGTTATTGCGGTAACAAATTTACCAACTAGACAAACAAAAAAGAACAGGAACAATTTCAATCAATCATTTATTTAACAAGGTAGACTAATGTTGAGAAACTGGACTATTGTGGACTCCACCGCAGTGCGTATGTGTCCCCTTGCTGTCCACCATCTGGTTCCGGAGACCAGTCTCTCTTCTTGCTCTCTACAGGAGGAAACCCAATATGTATAAGGCCATAGTAATCAGTATACAGAAAGAGTTGTGTGAACCACAGTTAAGTCACACTGAGATGTCGTGAATAAACATAATGACTTTTTTGCAAGAAGAAATTGAACTCCTGAAGTACCTAAGGAATGTTACTTTTATGCTAGGCAGATACAAAGACCATGCCATGCAGCTTAGTTTTCTTGGGGAGACCACACAGAGATGTCAGATACTGACTGCCCTGGTTTGCTGAAGACCCAAAATGAATGGCATTATTCTGAGCTATTAGAGTAGAATGCAAAGAGCCAATCACGTGGGGCGGGGCAGTTAGGAAGATCCATGGGAAAACTTGACCTGGGCCCTGAAGAAACAGGTAGATTTGGGGAAGGCAAGAAAAAGAGGAGAAAGGCGAGTAACCTAACCAAAGAGGTCATGGGACACAGCAGGAGCAAAGGCACGGAGGCATAGAGGGGCATCTAACAAGAGGGGGCTTTTGCCTGACTGGGATGCAGAGAAAGACAGGCAGGAAGGTTCCGATCTGCAGACTCCTGAATACCAAAGAGTCTATAACTTGATTCTCTAAGCCCTGAGAGGTTCAGACAGAAGCTTCAGAACAGGGCAAGTATTTCAGAAAGATCAATCTTGTCTCCTTATGCACGTGAGAGAGCAGGGACAGGAGAACGGGTTAAGGTGGCTCTTGGGGAAAGAAGTCCAGGCGAGAAGTGAAATGGGCAGGGATGTGGCGAGAGGTAAGCAATTAAAATGAAAATGAAAAGAAATGTTATAACTGGAGATATTAGAAGAAAAATGGTTAAGATTTTTGTGATGAGAGATAAAAATGGTAAAAGTTTGCAGTTTTGAGCTCAGATGATTAAAAAAACTGGGCAGTTAAGAGGGACAACTTAATGGTTAGAAGAGAGAAATTCAATTTTAGTGACAACAGGACAACCAAGCTGAAATTCAGCACACAGTAGGACTGGCTTTTTTTTGGGAACTAGGCCAAGGATAAGGACTTGAGAGTCACTCCTTAGAGGATGAAGAATGGATGAATTTCTGAGGAGAAAGTCAAAACAGAGACCTGCCTTTGACAGCCCTCTCCCCCACCAGCATAGGAAATGGCAAAGGTGTTCTTAGAAACCAGGACAGTTTGTCAGAGAAACCAAAAGAGGGAGATTTTAATTTGGATGCTCAGTAGTGTCCAACTATATCATGGACAAAACTAAACTCTGAGAACAAGTCATTGGATTTGGTGACCTAGTAACTGGTAACCTTTGGGAAAACATTATTAGTAGAAAGACAGGAACCAAAGTGAGTTGATTTTTTCTCATACAAAAATTTATACATACATTTTTATGTGATTCTAATTGCTCTCCCCATACTGTGACGGCACAGTCCTCCTTTCCACCCCTGATTTTCCATGTCCATTCAACTAGCTCCTAACCCTCTCTGCCTTCCCATCTCACCTCCGGACAGAAGCTTCCCATTTAGTCTCTTGTATCTACTTGAGCTAAGAGGCACACTCCTCACGAGTATCACTTTATGTTCCATAGTCCAGTCCAATCCCTGTCTGAAGAGTTGGCCTCAGAAACTGTTTTAGTTCTGGGCTGATAGAGAATCCAGGGGCCATGCTTTCCAGGGTGCCTCCAGTCTCAGACCATTAAATCTGGTCTTCTTTCTAGAATTTCAGTTCTGCACGCCACCAAAGTGAGTTTAAAGACAGTGAATGGTATGATAATGGAAGCAACACTTCGTGGAGAAATTCAACAGTAGAAGGAATAACAAATAGGATGGATAGAAGCAGGAGTAGGAGTGGGGTGGAAATCTGGGCATGCATGAAGAAACAAAGAAAGAAAGGTGCTGGTATAGATAGGCACACATAGAAAATGAGAGAAGAGGAGGGAAGGCAGAGGAGTGGGGGAAGGGAGAAAGGGGAATAAAATAACCAAGGTCTTACGGAATGCTAGAAGATCTTGGTAGACAACTCTTCAGCTTGGAGGAAAGTATTGTAAGACTGGTGTACAAACAGAGAGATGATGCCCAGAGGAGTATTCGTTCATTCCTTATCTTCATGAAGTAGGTTACCAGCCAGGAATGAAAGTTTCAACTCAAGGCCACGGGCCATTTTAAGCAAGGTGGAAGCTAACAGGACAAATAGGGTGGTCCCTTCTTCAGACTGACTTCCTCAACAGAGTTCATCATTTTCCCCTTACTTCCCACATTCTTTGCATTTCCCTGAGATTAGCTATTCTACTTCAGTTTTTCCTTTGCAGAAAGAACTCTTTTTAGGCTCTGTATAATGGGGGAGCAAGACTAGAACAGATTTAAATAGAACTTCAAAAACAGTGCGATCCAAGAAACTACCCTCAGTACCCTAGGGGAAGCCCAGGGAATTTCTTAAATTTTAATGTCCCCTGACATGAGATAGGAGAAGACTTTTTACTAATTACCCTTGGCATTTTATATTAGATGAGAAGATAATCTGATGATGGGAAAATATTCAGGGATTTCAGTTTGTTTCTAAATATAAGCCTGTTTTGTTCATTTTAGGTGACAAAGGCAAATAGAGTTTGTGGGACACTTGTTTCATAAAAGACCTTTGGAAAAAATGCAGACATAAACCAAACCCTCCTACATTGTTTTCTTGCATGAAGCATGAACCTGTCCCACTTCAAAAAGACCCTATTGAGGAGGTGGAGCCAACATGGCACTATAGACAAAAGCACCATGCTGTCCCTCCACAGAAAAGACCCAAAAAACTAAGTAAAACAGAGACATATGTCAATCCTGGAACCCTAAACATCAAATGAAGAGATAAAGAACTCAACCAAGCACCGAACGGAATCAGAAACTGACAGAGAACAGAGAGCAAGGAGAGTTATGAGCGCAGGTTCCCTATCAGCTAATGCAGCATGAATCCACCATCTTGGACTCCTGTCAGAGA